CCCAAAGATTTCAGGCTTTCATGAGCAGGGTCTCGGGGTTGAATCCGCTGGCTTCAAAAGGCCAAAAGTCTCAACCCAAACACTCTCGGGATGTCATCTTGTTGGAGGATTTACCTAATTTGCACCACGATGGCACTCTTCATAGCTTTCAGCGGGTCGTCATAGATCATCTTGAGAGATCAGAAATACCTATAATATTGATTATCAGCGATGTGGGATTGCGTGGAGAACACAAGGATGAAGAGGGATGGCGGCGATCCTCTTCGTCCACGATTGACGCATACAACATACTTCCAAAGTCAACTCTTCAGGGACCTTTAGTCACAACAATCAGGTAAGCCGTGTTCTTACACGCCTTCCAAGCTTAGACAGCTATAACAGCTTCAATCCGATTGCCCCCACTCTAATGAGAAAAGGACTCAATTGGGTGTTGGATCGTCACTTTGGAGAAAAGTCTGAATATAAACCCTCGAAAGCAATGCTTGATTCAATTGTCGAATCGGCAAATGGCGATATACGCATTGCACTGATGGGCCTACAATTTTGCTGTGGGTATCAAACCCGAGAAGGATCTATAAAGAAGCGCAAAGCGACTCACACATTGTAAGTCGCAGCCTCGGGTCTCTAATCCTCTGACATAGCTATGGTAGACTGAATATGTTCTCTAAACGCGAACAGTCCCTTGCTCTATTCCATCTCCTTGGAAAATTGTTATATAATAAACGTCAGTAATATATTATAAGCGACAAATCCAGTGTAACTTCCTAATCTGTCTGATAGGTGCCGGAGATGATCCAAGCGAGTCGCAGAGCAAGAGCACGCGAGAACCCAACATCACGGATGGCGAGCTAGACGAACGTGAACCGCTACCTTCACATCTCTCCCAGTTTCAACGCTCCAAGTCATTGGTCAACCTGAACGTAAGTTATTTCTCATCCGTCGGGTAGTATCGCCAATAACAAAACGTAGGACCTATATACGGATTCGCCTGTGGATACCTCACTCCTGTCTTTATACCTTCATCAGAACTACTACCAATTCTGTGAAGAGGTCGAACAATGTGAAACTATCATGGATACGCTTAGTTTGATTGATGCGCTAGGAGACTCGGTAAGGCCTTTACATACACCTTGGAGTTTTGAAACCTAATGACCATATCTCAGTGGGACAACAGAAGGGATATTACTTCAGAAAAGTTTCATATAATGGCTGGTGGCACTTTGATGGGTTTACCGTCGCCCGTACCGCGGTTGAATCAGAAAATGTACAAACCTCATTACTTCGAGTCCCTGAAAGAATCACAACGAGTGGGCGCTTCTGTAATTGAAGTAGCAGACTGGCTTGCTGGAAATGGGAACATATGGTCACCTGAAGAGACGAAACTCTTGTTACCAATAGCTCTCCGTCATGCTAGCTGGATCGGTACGGTTCTATAGCCAGACGGGCAACACCCTACTTACATAATATTTATAGAAAGTGTATCCAGAGTACCGAAAGACCACCGTTCGTTTTCAAATCTACCGTGGATTCGCGAGAAACGTCATTCCGAGGTGGCTCTAGACGAAAACGACGTGTATTCGGAGGAAGAAACGTCACAAACCGAAATCCGAGGTCAATCCGATGATAAAAAGATCTTAGAGCCACCAATACGGGGTGATGACAAATATTGGCTACAGGAGGATGATATTGGCGAATTTTAGTCAGACGGTCCGTACTCAATTGCTTTGTAACTCAGCCTCAACCACAGTCGCTTTTCTGTATCTATAATCATCGCGATATCCCACAGTCTCTTGTGCACACACAAGATGCCTCTATCTTCGCCGTTGAACTTCCCCAAGTGGCTCTCTGAGAATGGGGACTTGTTAAAGCCTCCTGTCAATAATTACTGTGTTTACTCAGGCCAGGACCACATCGTCATGGTTGTAGGAGGGCCTAATGAACGCAATGATTATCATGTTAATGAAACAGAAGTATGGAGTCCGGCAGAACACTTCATAAACCTGATATTTTCTCTAGGAATGGTTCTACCAGCACAAGGGTCCAATGTTACTCAAAGTGGTCGATGAGGGGGAGTTCCGCGATATCCACATCAATGAAGGGGATATGTTTTTGCTTCCTGGTATGAGAGTCACTCATGATTGGGCTACCACTTCATTAATGTAATCCCGTAGCAAATACTCCACACAATCCGGTACGCTATGCTGATACTATCGGCATTGTTATTGAGCGTACCCGGCCGGAAAATTCTCATGGTGAGAGCGATCCTTCTCGTCCAGGGGTCACTATTGACAGGTCTACAGACCGTCTCCGTTGGTATTGCCGTTCCGGTGCCCATACAGAACCAACAATCATAAGGGAGGAAGTTTTTCACGTTACTGATCTCGGAACCCAGCTGAAGCCTCTCATCAACAACTGGATAGCGAATGCGGATTTGAGGAAATGTCCTCACTGTGGAGAGGTAGCAGCAGCTAAATGAAGACAGCAAAAAAGAGTGTATTGAACTTTTCTTCAAAGGAAATACAGTCATGGTGTACATTATATGTTTGAAAGAGGTCCTTCAACTGCCAATAACTGCTTCCACTAAGCTTTGAATGTCCGCCAGTCTCAAGCTTTCTTTGTCCTCTTCTGGTTCTTCGGTGATC